AAAAACGTAAGAAAATCGATCGAATTTCTGATTTTTTATTTTTACTAACACTTAAATCTCATATAACTCTGTTTTACGTTGAGTTGTCAAAACATATACAAATACAGAAGTAGTAGTTGAAGTTTATAAGCGATAAGTTGCAGTTAGTTAGTCAAACAAACATTACACTGTATCTAGATTCACACGTTTTGCCTAGTTTTCTCACTCCTACAATATTAAATCTTTGTGTATCACTAGACACTTACCTGACAAATTAAGATTAGAGAATATAGTAGGAACGCTAACTCTTATTCCACGATAGGTCAAACAAAACACAAACGATGCGATAAACACACAACCATGTCTTTCTGTTAAGTGGATGATAATTTCCAAAAACTAATCTGCAGTGCATGCTACTGTAGTCGCTTCCAGATCCAATTAATACCAATACATAACAAATAGGCTAAAACATGTGTGTATTTTTATGTGTTAGTTGTAGATTTGATGTTGAAAACAGTATTCATTCTTCATCTATTCTGACAGTGAAATACCTTCTTTATGAAGAAGTATCAACAGTAACCTAATGCTCAGAATTTAACAATAATAATTTTATGAACTGCTTCTTTTGAAGACAAACGTAATTAGTATACCATTTCTTCGTGTCTAGTGATTGTGTGTACAGCTAAGTTTGAAAAAAGATTAAGGGAAAAATAGTTTAATACAGGAGAAACCAAGTAAGCTTGGAAGAAAAGTGTATTTAATCCTCATATAATAAAATCTTGTATTGTTATCAGAATGAAATAGCAGGGTAAAAGTAGTAACTCTCAAAAGAATGAACTGCTGAAACTAAGAAGAGACCACAAAATGCCAGTTCTTACAGTGCTAAATAGCTAAGTCAATTTCAGTAGTATAGAAAGTTTTTCAAGTTGGAATTCACCATGGGCCGAGACCAGTTGGAGGAGCATTAGAAACCTGGGAGCACTAGACAGCAGTTCCGTCTTAGTATGGGACTCCTCAAAAGTGCGCACCCATCACTTCGCTAGGGATCGAACCCAGGGTGTTCAGGTTCAATGGCCAGGACTTTACCATTGAGCCACTGCGTCCTCATCCAGTGGTCCATATTTCCAACTTCTATCAATTTACGATATATCGCGACCATCACCCAATGTCATCATTGAGTATTTGTCCTTAAGACCACCAGGCCTACTGATGAGTCCACACTAGGACGAAATAGCTGTCTAGTGCTCCCATCTTTCCAATGTTCCCCCAACTGATGTAAGCCTTTGATGAGTTTCAATTTGAAAAATCACTAAATCTTCACAAAACCCCAAATTTAGTATAGAAAGTTCCTAAGCTAAACAAGCATATGAATTATTTAATTCAGATCCTATAAATCAATAGGTCTAGTAACATCTTTATTTTCAAGACATTATAATCAAAAAAAGCGTCCAGTAAACTGGTGAATTTCAACTTACAAATGTTTAAATTTTCATAACGTACCCAATGTTATATTCGTAAAAATATGAAGGAGAATTCATGTGAGCAAACAAGACCATCAAAAAACTAATTTACAAGCCGGGTCGGTCGAAATAAATGCAGAGGTTAGTGATCGAGAAACAAATGAAACCAGTTTTGGCCACCAACAGGTAGTAGGCAATCAAAAATAAAATAGTAGAAGTCGTCTTCTGATGCTTACCATATATCAAAATCTACTTATCTCCAAAATCAATAATGAACACATTTAGCTTTATGCTCTTAAGTATGCATATTTTTATATTCTATGGGTAGTAAAATATGGGGTATTATATCAAACGACCAATAAAGAGTACTGGTTTCTTGTGATAGGAATAATCAGCTGTTCAGTGGCAAACGGCAACAACACCGCACTCATCGCTATCAAGGAGAAGGCAAGACTGATAAATCTATAGTGTAGCTATGAAAATCCTAGTAAATTAGTTGGAACCATGATCACATCAGAAAGATTAGTAAGACTATGTTGAAGAAACATATGAAGCCTCAAATTTGATCATCTGAAAGGATTAAATTGACTGACGAAGAGAGACTAGGTGATGTATCTATTAAAGTCTATACATCTGAATGCATAAGACCAAAAGGGACTACATGAATGAAAACTAGGAATACCCAGAAGAATGCGACTAAACGACAGTAACACACAGCTGCTCCGCGTATTAATTCCTTAGCAGCCAGTCAAAAACCCACCGATCAATTTATTTAGTAAGTTACAACTACAACATTTGTATTTCCGTGCAAGTTTTTCAATAAGTGAGTCATCCTCTTGATATAAGCTCCGGCAGGAAAGTAAAATGATAAATTTACTTTCCACTTTCATACTAAATGTGAGTGGTTACTAGCCTCTAAGGTCGACCTAAGTCTTTGCAAAAACTGGCGCGGAATCACGCTCCTGTCCACCAAAAGCAAGCAAAATATTATGCCACATCATCCTGCACAGACTAAAGGATACACTGGATTCAAAACTACGACCAGAACAGGCTGACTGGCTGGCTTCAGGAAGTATAAATCATGTGCGGACCAAATCGCAACGCTACACTACGCATCATCATAGAACAGAGTATAGAACGGCAGTCAACTGAATCTTTACCTCAGCTTCATCGACCTTGAGAAGGCTTTCAACAGCGTCAACCGAGAAGTAGTTTGGAAACTGTTTCAATACTACGATTACCGCAAACCTTTATCAGTCTCATTCAACAACTATATGAAGACGCCACATGCCGTCCAAGTAATTCACAATGGGAAGCTCAGTGATGCTTTTGAAGTGGAAGTGAAGACAGGAGTGAAACAAGTCTGCTTACTATCACGCATGATATTCCTGATTGTGGTCGACTCGACTGGATCATGCAGCAAACACTGAGTAGCGAGAAGAGGGGAATACGCTGGACTGTGGAAAAGAGCCTAGAAGACTTGGATTTCGCCAACGATGACTTGTGTCTGATGTCACACAAACTTGAAGATCTACAGGCAAAATCCAACAAGTTGACAGAAGAGGCAGGGACAAATAAATAATAATCAAAATAGTAGCCTCTAAGCATCCATTTTTCTCAGCTATGCACTGATAAGGTAGAGTAAAACCGGATACATTTTGATTTCAGCACTATAATATGGTAAGACTTTTGAATCCCCTGATAATCTAACACTGAGGAATATAAACGCAGCTAAATTACCAATGTGTAGTACTTCCTTTACCGACTTCATCATCTAACATGATAGACATTCAGGCACAAAACAGTATTACGTAATTATAAGGGACTATCCTAAGAAAATAATCTGATTCACTCAGGAGTAAAATTAGACAACGCAGCATTCTAACAGTGATAATGAATTTTTATCACTTTGATCATTATAATTTTATATCATAAAAAGCAAAGAAAGCATCAAATCAAAACTGATAAAAACTTTCTTGACCTCAGAAATAGGTGAATACTTGACATCCATAAGTATACATGTATCGATGTATTTCGATGTGTGTGTGTATGTGTGATTGTCTGCATCATGAAAAAAGAGGGAAATATTAGGTTGGACAAAAAACTGCTGTTGCTTGCTTCTTTGATAGTATAACATGATAATGATTGGCAAGAAAGCCAAAGACAACTACAACACCATAAAAGCTTGGAGGGATATGGAAGATCGACAGATGGAACATACTATGCTCCATATTAAAAGGTATACAGGATAAAAGAGTAATGTATATGCATACATATATAAATATATGGAAAACTGGTAGAGAGAAAAACGAAAATAATTTTTTCTAGAAAAAAGAGAAAACATTATTTTTGAATTGTAAGCTACACATCTATATTATTGAGTTAGAGACAGAGGGAAAAGATAAACAAGGATAAATACAATAAAAATATGCACAGTAAAGTGTGTACATGGAAAGATAAATCAAACTGATCACGTATACTTTTTTCAAGAAAACATCATGGCAATAAATTTACTAGAAGAAAAGAAACTTGTCTATTCAATCGACTTTGTCAGGAGTGAGAAAGATAATATGTAAAATTAAGTACAGAATGGTAATGCTTAGTTTCATACTCTGGATAATAACTATAGTAGTGTTAGTAGTAGCAGTAATAATGATAATGATTGGTAAGTCAATAAATACATTAAAACAGCATATGGAGAGAATTTCGGAATATTTTGCTTTCTTCTTCTTTAACTCCATTCCAAACTGGTCGCTTGAAATTAAATGCAAAAACAGGAATTGACAGCGATCTGAAAAAGTATTACCAAATATATCCAACCCTGTGATAAAACATACAGAAAGACACGCCTATAACATAAGCACGTTATTCTTTTGAAATTATTGAAGACATCTAACACTTGGTGTAAAACTAAACACCATCAAAGGATATGAATTTTGCATTTTCAGAATATACTGTAAACACACTATTCAACGAATGCATATACACATAGGAAAGGCTGCCATGCTTTACACTTGGAAATCAGAAGACGACAAAGACTAGAAAAATAATGATAATACAGGTTTGTGCATGATACAGTTAAATATCATTGAAAAATTACATTTCTACTTGACTTGTATAAATAAACAAATGATATGAAGAGTAATCATTATTACAACCTTTTCAGCATATTCAGTCAACATGCATAAAAATAACAATAAACAATTCATTATTATCATTATTATTAGTGAAGAAGGAATTCGAATGGACCAGGAATTCAACAAGCATTAAATGTGTCAATGTATTTCACCAAATAACCCTCTATGACAATAAATGTCCACACAAACAAAGCAATAGTGGAAAAAATCTATTGAAAATAAAATATCTAAAGTATGAAGACTACTAACTATCATTTCTTTCCTTTTTTTCTAGTTAATTATTTCAAAGTAAATACAGAGGAACAGAAAGTATGTAAATAAGTAGTATCAAAAAAGGGGACGGCAAATAGCTGTGTACAATGGGAAAGCAGAAGGAAAGTAAAAAGTATTGAGATCATATATATATATATATATATATATATATATATATATATATATATTGCAGAGTGTAGTAGGCTTTGCATTAACACTTTTCTTTGTTCAAAAGGTGATTTACATATAAATATTAAAAAAAAACACGTATGTTCTTCATGCATCAAATAACTTGAATTGAGGTAAAAAGCACGTAGGAAAGAATGTATACAGATTTTGAATAAAGAGAATGAATGAAAATTGGGTGGGAATTAACACAGAGGTTAAATATATCATAAATAAAGGTATATCCATCACAGCCCATCATCTGTCAAAAATACTAATTATCGCATTTGTCAACACATAGATAAACATTCACAGATACAAGAATAAGCAGATACGGTAAATAAGTAGTAAAGAAGAACGGAATTCATCAGATAAATATAGTACAATACAATCTACAAGGAATATGGTTTGAAATGGAGCCTAGAAATTACGTAATACCTTTTTTAAACAAGTAGAGTTTTGATGATAAGGTATAAGGAACAAATGAATGAATGAACGTGTAAATTATAATTATAAACATGAAAACGGAGGAAATTAGACTTACGAGACTGAAAATATTAAACCTTCATGAACTAACAATCCATTCACAGAAGCTTAAAATAGAGATGAGAACATTTTTGAGCATACTGAAAGTATTAGTATATGAAATTTAATATTATACAAATATATGTAATGTATATTTAGTGATAGAAGTGTTCAATTGTTTCTCTCTGACAAAAAGATAAACAACAATCAATACAAGGTTTACTTCAATCCCACAGCTAACTTACCCTTTCCTAATAACAAACAAAGAATGAATAGAAAATAAGCATAAAGTAGTAATATGGTGAAAAGTTAAGAAAAATAAATAAATTACAAATTACAAGACAAATAAATCAATAAATAAAAGGTATAATAATACAAGTTATGAATAATTGGAAGTCATAACAAAACAAAAGAAATTTAAATGCCTTTATTCATTTATATACGCATAACTGATTGAATATGCTGTAGTATGAAGTTGAAAATATTGCCTGTAATTGTTGACAAAATGCACCTAAAGAAAAAAAAAGGAAAGAAAAGTGAACAAATTTACTAAATGATAAATTAACATGCAATTGGATTTGTATATAAAAGTTATAAAATCAATATATCGTGACAAAGATACTACTAAAGTTGTACACTTAATTAATAGATGATTTTTATGACACTAGAAATCATTATTCATTAAAATCTACACACAAATGAAGAGAAAGTGATTTTGAAGAAGTACCAGTAACTTCAAAGTTTGTTAACATTTTACCTAGTTAGTAGAATTTTAAGTTCCCTGCACATAAGAACCTCATTATCTACATATGATTATCTGATTCCATTGGTTGAACAACTTAAACGTATACTGTTTCGTTTGAAAATCATTAAAAGGTAAACCTGCGTAAGTTACATAAGGTATATTTAGGTGGAAGTTGTTTGTTTTTTTTTCAATAATAAATATCAAACTCTTTTACGTTGACTGTTTACCCAGAAACTATTTACTTTAGTACTGAGAGAAATTTGACACTGACTAACTGGTTAGCTTGTGCATTTCAAAACAAAACAGAAAAGCTACCCTTATGTGGATGGTTAGTGCTTTCCCTAGAATTTAATCAACTAGAATATTTATCAGTTTACAACCAATAAAACCAGATTATCATACACAGGTGCATCTTATGATAATGAGAAAAGAGCATCAACCAGTATTTAGTTATACTGAAAACATGAACTTTCAATGGTGTGTCGAGTAGATTGGATCATTTTAACCGTCACTGACTTTCAATGTTTCCAATATCATAAGAAAGATTAACACTTGGTTGTACTGTGTCCTCTGAAGTTAGTGCTGATAATGTCGTCTACAAAGACGATGAAAGCTTCACGATTAAACAACCCAGCTCAGAGAACACAATACAACCAAGACCAACCACCCGAGCTACAAATATTCTCCACTATTTCAGATTAAGACTTATTATCATTTGAATCTCTGAGATAGCCGTAGTTTGGCAGACTAGTATTTATACTGAGTGATAATTGAAGGTGAGATATAAATCCGGCCGCGGTCCAGATTTTCATCTCGCCTTCAATCACCACCCAGTATTAAGACTTATGCTTGAGGTTATTTTAAATGTACCATTGTACACAGAAAAAATAAGCCAGAGTTCAAATGAAGAGTTTAAACAATGGGACACTTCGGTAAATAATGACTTTTCAACAGCCAAGTATACTTATTCATGGTCAACAGTTTTCTATAAACTATTAGGTGAAAATAAATAATACAAGAAGTTAGCTTCCAATGTAATGAGACGTCGTTAAACATCAATTCAGAAACAACCTAGTATGTGAAAAAAACTATGAGTTACTAATCACCACAATAGCGGGCCTTTACTTCGAGTGGCTTCCGCAGCTATCTTGTTTAAGATGGTGTTCATCATCTTTAAAATCACCTGCAGCTGTATTTAACGTATGTATCCACTCATTCATTAATTGATTGTTAGATACTTACACTGAATTTAACTACTCAAATAATACGAGTAGTAAGGAGATAATAAAGACAGGACAGGAGAATGATCACTTAATATTAACTACAATCATCATTTTTAATTCCAGAATCGGTTAAAAATAAAAAGTAGCCTTTGGTTATCACGAGTGAATATTCCTGCAGATTTGATACTAGAATAAAAGAACGTTAGATTTTAACAGTTTGGGTCGGAAGAATATTCAACAAAAAATTCATCCTACAGTTTCGCTACATTTCGTCATAATTTAGCATTTAACAAAAGATTAATGCACATTCATATCCTACATACAGCATTATTTTTCTATGTTTTTTGTGTAATACTATCATTACCTCCACTGAATAGTCATTATACAACTATCTGCATTAATTTTACTTTGTATTTAGAAAGAAAGATAAAAGAAAAGCAACACGTGTGATGAGTGTTATCAACCTTACAGAAAATGATAAATTAAGATTTTATGTTATTCAATCAGTCTGCTGGTGTATTTTCATGAATTCCTAAAACAATTTTCCCCTTTCTGAACCAAAGTTAGCCAATTAAAACTTACGGCTATTGTGTCTTATACATGAAATGATGCATCAAAACAATAATTTCTAGAAGAGATTTATATCTAAATGACGAGGATATGTATATGTGAATTTTTCTTCGATAAACTTATTAGCTGATTCATTACAAATATTTATTTGCAAAATGCTCCATTTTCCATCTGCTTTAAAAGGATAATTTAACTACACCATTACTTTATACAATGAAACTTATCACCTTATCATAATCTTCTAACATGAAAATTATCTATTTTGTACATTTGCTGGGATATACACATATTCAGTCACTGATAATTCAATAATAACCCAAATATGTGACATTCTACCATCCATCACAATTTAAACACCCATGACATTTATCCAGTTACTTTCAATGTACCATTTTAATTTCTTTTTTTTTCTCCTAGAAATACTTGGCTAAGACCTTTACTGACTAAGTAGTTGAAAACTTAAAAATCAGCAAAAACATCCATTCATAAAGGTATTTATGATCAGCTAAATCAATATTTAGCATAATATAAAGTGGTAGATGCAATGAATTTACTACAGTGACAAACACTAGAGAAATAAAGAGAGATAGAAAAAGTAGAGAACAAGCAGTAAAACATCGGTCTTATAATGAAAAAATGAAGATAACAGTGTGAAATTCATAAGCAATGACATAAACTACAATCTATAGAACAAGACTTCAGTAAACAGTAAACTTAAGCCACACATTTACCACCACAGTATCAGCTAACATCAATGTAATGACATATTTTGACCTACAGTCTCTGAGGTTTTCTTCGACTAGAATCATGTAGTCCAAAACATGGAGATGGTGGATAATCGCTATTACTCAATACATCAAAATCGTTCCTGAAGGAAAACCTTCAGTAACCAACACTTAACTTCTTTCTGTCAGCAAGAACTCTATACAAACTGAAGAATGGTAAGAAAAGTGATCACAGTGAAAGTTGAAGTAAGGTAGAAAATACATATAACACTAGACATAATTTTGTCTCATGCACAAGATAGTATGGTTCTGTATTCAAATCACGTCCAGAAATATGGCGCTGAACCCATTTTTGATTACCAAACAGTCATCTTAAGAACTGGAAAAGTGGCGCAACGCAGAGAATCTTAGTCAGGGATTTTTCATGTGTATAGAGATTTAACCACCCAGAAACTCCTAGCAGAAAGTAGGAAATAAGCTGAATACCAAATAGAAAAATGTCGTTTTGAAGTTACCGACGTTTACAACAACATAGAGATTATTAAAGTAGACAAAAAAGGTATGAGTAGAAGAGAAGCAAACAAATCTCAATTAATAGCATGAATAGATCTTTGAGGAAGATATGAATTGAACGTTAGTGCTACTGAAATCAATTTTCGGATTTCACCTAAGGTTTCCTACCATTTATTCTCAGCATCTTGTAGGCCTCAATTAGATGACGTACACTTAGTTTACACCAACAGTTATTTAATGGATTACTGAATCCCTTGATTGGTTTACTCACACACCTTCACAACTTAACCAAATCATTTTCATGTCCCTATTTGATGCATACAGTGGTTTTGCAGGCATATTATGTTTCACAGAAATACAAACTTATCCACTAACCTACTCAAACTGAATGAATGAAAAATAAAACTTGGCAACTATGTACAATTCTTCGCTTCCAGGAACTCGAAAAAAGTCAGGTGAACAATAGTAGCAGAATTAGCATGCGTATATTCCATGGATTCTCTTCAGCTGCTGTACAACTCTCATAAATTGACAGGAATGTTTTGATTGAAATTCCGGTCAGCCTACATTGCTATCTTTTATCACAATCAAAATATTCTTGTCAATTTATGAGAGTTGTACAACAACTTAAGAGAATCTACAAAGTACATGAATTCTGATTCCGCTGATAGTATTCTTCTTGCTTTATTCAACCTCACACCCAGTGTGGGGGCTTATGATATTATGCAACTGCTCAGACTGGTGTAAGTGAAGCAGGTTCGAACGAACGACCCAATGTTTCATAGCCTAGTGTCTAAATCGTCAACTTTAACAAATATGCGCAAAACAGTGAGACGAAGAAGACCTACACTCGATAAGCGTAAACAAAATGGGAAAAACGGTATAGCTCCTTAGCATTAGTCATATAAAGAACAAATTGAAGCTATAATTTTTGTACACTACAGAGAATGTGAAACTCCAAGTACATAGCTTTTAGATCTACGCTGGATTTTAGACTCTATTAGGAAACATTTCAATCAATAAATCTAAACACGAATCCTATCTTAAAGAACACTGTTTGCATATGTATTCCACTATAAGATGAGATATACACGGTTATACGATTCAACTTATGCGCAAAGTAAAATTTACCTAACTATTCAATATCTTCCTCCACTAAAGAATTACGCAATAAAGTCAGAAAAGCTACCCTCCCTAAGATAATGACAAAGAAGTTTTGCCGTTCGTGTATACCATAATAGCTAATTACCGAAAAAAGATAAGTGGAAATGTGTCTGATTCCCAAAGTTCTATCGAAACTATTGTGACTCTGGTCATCATTGGTGCTTCCTAATTATGAAAATTGATGGAACTGAAAAACATCCTATAGATTTATCTAATTTTCTCTTCATCATAGGGAATAACTTAAATATTTGACTTACACCACAGTAGAACTTTTAGTGACCGACTCATAATAAAAGGCCTACTAGATTAATCTTCGGTGCAGTTGACTCAACTTAATAACTTTCTGTTCCTATTTTTCATAGAAAAACCTATTTTACTGCCTACAATCTAACTCTTAAACACGACCTTGAAAATAGGAAAAGTTAAACTGATAGTTTCCACACCAATTTTTTTTAACTTTCTCTAGATATCAGTACTTCCAACCTCTAGTCAGTTTTTTCGAAGTTGTTTTACTTTAAATCGTTTTATCCTTTACAGTGCTTTGCATATATCACTTAGAGGCATTTCAGTTAATTTTTATGTGACCGCATAGATTAAAATATTATTACAGGACGAAATGGGCATCCTGGATTCTACTGATAACCACTATTCATCATTACTATAATTAAAACAGCCTAATATTGAGGCGTCCGCGCAGGAGCCTATATGCCAATAAAGACCGATCAATTCGGTCCAATCAACGATGGTATAATACAAGCAATAATAATACATGAACATAGTTCAGATACACGATACATAAGTTTTAGATATAAAGAAATGATTATCGACTGCCTAGAACCATATGCACTTTCCACAAGCATGACTTAAATATTTCAAAAGATAGAAACGAAACGAATCAATGTCAAGAAATAAATCATTATGTCAGACAATCTGGATACCGAATCCTATAGTACATCTACGAAGGTTAATTGGCATTAAAGCTTCATGAAATATATGCTGATCAGCATGCCTGTGCATTTGATTGAGTAACCTTTACAATTTGGAATTCCATTAGCTTTAAGAACTAAGTAAATTGTCTAGAAGTATGACACTTAGATGAACAAGGAATTATCAGATAGTTAGATTTCAACGTGGTTTCTGAATGCACTAAAAAGTCAACTTGAAATCGAACTTTCGAATAAAAAAACCCTGTTCACGAAAGTAGAGACAGAACACACAGAAAACGATGCTTATCAGCAGTATCATGTTGCAGAACATCGTATAAGCCCAGTATAAACATATTTTAATCCCAAAACGTTTAGACATAATTGATCAAGGTGAATTAAATAAAGAATTCCCAAGTAAGCTTTGCAAGGGAAAAGGAACTTTCCGAATAAGGACTATAAAAAAAGGGGTTTTATTTGCAAAGAGAAGTTGAAAGCCAATCTACTAGATTCAATTCAAATTTCCATGTAAACTGAATCGGACATGACCTCAGTACAAATGATAATAGCCAAACTAGTAAAATGCCTCATTCACAAAGAAGAACAAGAAACAATCATAAAAAAACGAGACGATCTTTGAACCGAAGAGTCTGACTTTGATTAATTAATCCAAGAAGAGACTACTAAACCAATCAAAAAATAATTGGAATCGTCTTTATAAATCCCTTTGAAGGATGTGACAGCTCCGCTTGCTTTTGAAGCTTCATCAGATTTAGCACTTTGACTGCCATTGTAATTTCTATTCATGAAAGAACAATAATATCATCAGGAAATGCTTGTTCTGAAGCTTATACACTAATAAAAAGTAGGACACCCTATAAATACATCATATATATAATCAGATGTCTGCAAAAGAGAAAATATTAATGGAAATACATACTCTCACCTTATAAGTAAAGTTTATCGACGATGCGTTTTAACGTGTCGATGAAGATTACCCAACTGAGCAAAGGCCTTTAAACATTGTGGGCATCTGTAGGGTTTTTCACCTGTGTGTGTACGAATATGAGCTCGTAAATGGTCTTTCTGAGGAAACGCTTTCGGACAGTAACGGCACGGATAGGGTCGTTCTCCTGTATGTGTACGAATATGAGCCTGTAGATTATCCTTCCTTTCACAAGATTTTGGACAATAAGGACACTGATGTCTTCGTCTTGAACAGCAAGTAATCGTGGTCGCAGACGATGTTACGACAGTTTGTAATAATGCTGGTGAAGTGGAAATAGTTACTGTAGTAGATGGAATGGAAGGTGTATTAGGACAGGAATAAGACAAACGCTGACATTTTACTTCTTGAAATTCATTACTTTGTTGTGTTGTTAGGCTGGAGAACTGTGAATAATTACGAGAAGATAGTAATTTATCAGCAGAGGGTAATACTATGACACTTGTTTTTCCCTCATTAGGCTGGTTGCTCTGGGTTGTCAACGTACCACTTACTTTACTGTTAGTATAGTCTTTATTAATACTGTTGGCATTCACAGAGGATAATGCAGAAACTGGTGGGAGAAGACAACTACTAACCGTTGGGCTAGAAGTTACTGACTGATTTGGTCTAATAATTTCCACACTACCACTTGAACATGAAGTAGGAGGAGAAGGTAAAGAATTATTGTCAAATGACATACAAGAAGAGGAAGACATAGATGATGATAATGTGGTTGCAGGTGAAAGAAATGCATGTGTACTGAAACTTTGTGATGATGTAAATACATTATTGTTATTCGGAGAAAGTGAATTCCAAGATGGAGATGATAAAATCATGGTTTGTTGGGGAACATTAGGCAGCAAAGTTAGTGGAAAAGACAAAGGCGTATCACTTAAACTTTCTATTGGCGGCTGAAAACTTATAGTTGATGAACTAGTGGTAGTAACAGCAGATGAACTTAATGTAGCAGAAGTATTGGCCATACTGTTAGTATCGTGACTGCTGAAATTTGACGTCCATAGTGGTGTGCTTGTTGTTGTTACAAATCTAGAAGAGGGTGTTGAAAAATTAGATGTCAGCGGGTTAGCACACAATGGGAAAATACTTGATTTGGTTGAAGCCGTTGGAAGAAAAACTAAGTTCCCTGATTCTGAAGGATTTTTGTGATTAGAATTAGCTAAAACTACGGTCAAACCAGTAGATGAAGCAGGTAGAGCAGTCAATGCTCCGTTTACTGTAGTTACAGAAGAGGGAGAAGAAGAGGTGAAATATGTAGGGTTCAAAATGTTTGATTTATATGCTGAGCGAAGAATAAAAAATTGTGTCCCCAAAGGTAATTGTACAGGAGTTGATTGTTTAATATCACCAGTCGTACTAAAACTTTTTGACAATGTAGATGGATTTTGAAAAAGACTTGGTGCACTTGAATTCGGTAAAAGAGGGGTGGATAATGTAGATGGAAAAAAATTAACACGCTGTTGAGATGGGAGTTGTAAAACTGGGATATTAGGAACACTTGCATTGAGATTTGTAACAATTCCAGGTGCTGGAAGAAGGAAAACAGTTCCATTAGTTTCGGGAGTAACAGTGGGACTCTTATCCGACGATGTATTCACCGACGTAAAGTTTGGAAGACAAGGTGTGGAGTTTTGTCGCATAGAATTCCCGCTCTTAATATTTAGCAATAAAGACATACCAGAATTTATAGTTGGTAAAGAATTTAAAATTTGTAACGGCAAAAGAACACAGCCAGAGCTGGTAGTCAGGTTCGTAAATTGCGGTTGTGGAACTTCAACACATGTTCTGTTTTGAAGAGATAAGACAATAGGAGTAGTTGACTGTATCTCTGCAGCTGAAACGACACCAGGAGTAATTGGATGCGAGACAACGAATGTGGACTGTGTGCTAACAGGATGAGATGGAACCTCAAAATTCGGAGTAGGCATTGCAAACGGACTATGAGCAACAGAGTTCCCTTCATTGGAACGAAGTGGAGTAAAACTGTCAGAATAACCATTATCTGTAAGACACGAAACATTAGAAGTATTGGGTGCAAGTGAATGATCATTAGGAAACGTGACTGAAGTCCTCATTTCAGACGAGACAATTAATTGTTTAATACTTTTATTTGATTCACAAATTGACTCCTGCATATCATTAGATGAAATTACTTGATCAAACGGGGGGATAGATGAAATGTTCTGAGATAAGGACGACAAAGATGCATTTTGAGAATTCGAACCAATTATGGGTGTAAACCTAATATTCGGAATGAGTGATGGGTCACAAATTTTCGGTTGAATGTTTGTATTCATCACATGCTCGGGATGTTGCGGCGTTTCTCGATTGTAGCTCTCTACAAAAGTGAAGTCAACACCTTCAGTTTGATCTGCTTTCGACGAAAATATTATCTAAGAAAAAAATAAAAGAATAGAATGAGTATATTATTAGTAAAGTTCTTAGAATAATAATCATGGGGTATTCAGTAACCAGCCACGTTTCTGCATGCGAGTGGAAACTAAACAATGGCTACGGATGGACAGAAAATCATGTAAGAATTAGTAAAAACAACTGTGCACAGCACCATGTTGACAGCTTTCTGACATTTGAAAAATATACCTATACAATATGCAGATGAAAAACTTTGAAATTAGGTCAGCCGCTCTTCAGTCTTTTTTCTACAGCTCTGCAAAATGACATTTTACGTGTTTTGAAGTTTTTAGAAAATATATGTCGATACAGTGGCTATGTCGTATCCGTTAAGCAGCATAATCTGTAAGTAATGAAATAGAACTTATATGCTGGTAATTACCCCAGAACATAGTGTCTATTACATTCTACCTTCGATGGCTGCTGAGTATCAAACCCATATCGTAGCAAAAGGTCTTAACCATTATTGGCTATCGAAAAAATATAAGATGCCTACTTGTTGATCTTTGTCAGCTAAATAAATGCATCCTAGATAATAATGTGTAACATTCAACAGACGTGCACGTTTCGTAACACTTTGAAGAGTTAGTGAAAAATGGAAAGACACTAAAATAAACAAGGCAAAAAGATAGGAGTAAAGTTCAATAAATTGATGAATTGTTCGACTTATTGGTAACAAGAAGTGCAGATATCTTTGAAATCGCTATAGGTGTATAACTAGTTTACTTTGAGTGTCTAGTCAATAGTTCTTAACATCATGAAGGTCCCAGCTAGATTTTTTATGTTGTATATACAGTTCAATTAAAAATGCAGTTACTTGATGAACAGGTGTAATGCATTCATCCGGTCATCTTCTTTTTCCTTCCAGTTGAATATCAATTCAGATACCTCAGAAAAATAAAATAACTACGAAACCTTCGAAAAGAGTCACAATGTCTTACAAAAAATAGGTACCAGTGATCTGAAAACAACAAATTGCTATCAATTAATTTAATTAGCTTGTTTGAGTGACTAGGGACACCTTAAGCGACACACGTGTTATTAGTTCTTCGAGATTTGTGATCCAACAGAAACACACTTATATATACACGTAAATCCTACGTTTGAACTACCCTATTGTTAGCGTTTTTATTTCCAAAATACTTTATGCAACTCTTCGATATTTTTTCATTGTGAAAAATTATGATAGAGAAAATAGTAAATTCTAAGTGAGGCTATACGGTATTTCTAAATGGACTGAGAAAAGATTCATTAGATTTACTTATTGACTGAAGTCAGCTCATTAATATCGGATGATAAAAATGAGTCAAATCAATGGACTGCTCTTTTATAAGAAGCACTAGTAGAGAACTCAATGTCGCATTTTTGTTTCAATTACGCTGAACTCATTGACAAAGCGCAATAATATAGTGACTGATCCCTGGAGAGTAACCAATTTCATATTGTCTAGTCCTAAGTGCTGAATGAATCCAGTTGATCAATTTGTAATGTAGTCATCAAGCTAGGAGACTCAAGAATAATGTGCACTTCGACTGAGGTTAAATGGTTGAAGAGTTTTCTTTTGATTATCTCCAACAATTTAATAAATTTTGAGGGAGTTGTGGAGATTTGGAATTATTTCAAGTTGTTATTCATCGTAGACTGACATCAGTTGGAGGAACAAAGGAAACCTGGGAGCACTGGTGCTCATTGGTGACTAGCTTCGAGAAGTATTCCCGAAGTTCCAATGACAAGTCGTGACCGGTGGAGTCAAAGCCTGATGGCCATGAGGACAGATACTCAGCGTTGACATTGGGTGGCGGTTGCGCTATATATCGTGAGCTAACAGAAGTTGGAAATATGGAGCAATGGATTCTGACCCAGTGGCTCAATGATAACGCGCTGGCCACGGAACCTGAAGGTCGCGGGTTCGGTCCCTGCTGGTGGGGTCGTGGGTGCGTACTGCTGGGGAGTCCCATACTAGGACGAAACAGCTGTCCAGTGCTCCTAGGTTTCCTTTGTTCCTCCAACTGATGTCAGTCTACGATGAGTAACAACTTGAAATAATTTAATAAATAGCGCGATAATTATTGTAAATAAAAAACAATGAATTAAAATTAAACGGTAACACAATTTTGGAAAACAGAAGACAGTAATAACTCACTTGCTTTCTTTTATCATTCGGTGCACATACTAAATTTACAACAGATGGAATTTTGGTTGTATCACTGTATATTTCATCCAGAACCGCTGAAGAAGAATTTGGTATGCATAGTTTACCAGCACATAGAAAATTAGGAACATTGTTCACGTTTGAATTCAGTACATCTTTGACTACAAAATGGTTTTGCAATGAATGTTGAGTAAAGGATCTAATTTGATTTACATAAATAGTGTTTGGTAGTGAAGCTGTTGAGTATGATGAAGTAACTTCGTACTGACTGCATGCTGTAGTTGGCGATGTTTCATTTTCAGAGAGTCCAGAGGTAGAAGAATGCATTAAAGAATTGGGACAATTTTCCACTAAATTTTGATGGTCAGAATGGTATGTAAAGGTATTGTCACTCGAAATAAAATCTGAAGAATCAATATGTGACGTTGATATTGAAGGATCTCGGCTGTTTAATACATTGGTGCTATTGCAAGATATAAGTTGGTCAGATGTACTATGAGTAAATGACTGCAATTTCGGGGAAAGGATGTGTTGTCTGTTCACGTCATCGGCTACACATTCAGGAGTTTGACTGAAATAAGATTTTTCATAACTGGGATCTGATGAAATATCTATATGATCGAAAGGTGAGTGGGGGCATCCTGATGACTCAGGTGATAACGTCGGTGGTTGTGCATTGTCTAGCAAATGAGAATGTCCCAGTGAGGGTGAGCGAAGAATAGGTATACACAAGGAGGCTAAACGGGCTTCATGATCTAAATCTTCAATATCTGAATCTCCTGCGGAGACAACATCAACTAAATCACTTGGTATCTGACGAGTAGATTCGCTGACAAATTGGACGAGTTCACTAGGGACCAAATCAGTTTCTTCTTCATCAAGATTAGGAGGACAATTACTGTAAACAGGCAAACAATCACTCTCGTCAACGCACTGATCAAGTACTGAATTAGCTGTTGATAGTGAAATACTTGCTGAAGATGAACAGTCTAGGCTTAATGGGACATATCTCAGTGACTGAAAGTCAGCAAATGCACCGGATATGGGACTTGATGGAAAATCATTAAAATCAATAAACGAAGAAGAGGAAGTTTCCACTTGTGATGGTTTTAAGTAAAATCGTGACTTCTTATGTATGTCAGAACTGTTGTGACCAGGTGAAACACTTGAGTTAGAAACACTTTTGTTGGTAACTAGCTCTTGACAACCATCAACCTGATTACCAAATTTCGTTAATGTAGCAGCCAAAATCGGAGATGGATGCGGACGTGATGCTAACTTATCAAAGATTTCCTGCATCCCTGGAATAGAATTATTATTATTGTTGTGGCTTGGATTTTCATTAGTCAAGGATGAAGGTAACGGTGATAAGTAAAAATCGGATTCACTTTCCTTTTGAATTAAACTACAATCTTGGGTCAAATTGATCGTCCCATTACCAATAAAGGACTGAAATTTTAAGGAACCATGGTTCATTGCCAGCCTAGCTTGACTGCTCATGTCCTGCAAGAGAAGGTTATGACAACAAGATAAATAGACTGCTTGAAACACTTTTTTAAACGGTAACAGAAGCAGACAGTTTTTCGCACTATGCTTTAAACAGCTCAGAATAACAAACATTCCAATAGTTAGCACTTCGTATTCGCCACGCTTACCCATAACAGTACACAAAACACCTGCTTAGTAAAAATAATATCCACCATATGCAAACATTCAGAAAAATCAACGAAGAATTTGGAAGTGTTGCCACACTTCACAGCAGCACAAAAACGAAAGTGAATGGAAAACGAATAAAATAAAATTAGACAGAAGCACATCAGAGGAAATAGAATAAATATATAAAGTTCAGTGAAAATACTCAAAACTTTGCAGATCACAAAGGGTTTAAACATTTGAGATATCGAGACCGATTTTGGGCCATATCACTTAAAGTCTCCAACCATTGATTTTCATCGTCACATGGTCCATATAGCCCTACACTACTCAGACCGACCATCAGAGGCTTCATAAACCTCTGCCACATCTTCATCTGACCTCCCTTAGCCACCTACAAACATAATCCCACTTCAATTGACACCGCACATCAAGGTAGATGGTGGCCACGCTTGGCATAACACATGTCTAAGCCACCTCAGGTGATCAGGGTTCACAACCTCATCTACTGACTTACCCTCCTCACCTATTACCCCATGTATAGCTTCAACACTACTCACACGATGATCACAATCCATGAGTTACAGGATTAGGGCACCTATAATCAAAAGTCATCTACTGTAAAGTGGTGGAGTTGTGACTGAAAGTGTAGTCACTTCAGCTTAGATAAGTGGATGACCAGTCCAGAGCATGCTCCACCTACCTAGGATCAGGAAGATGTGTAACATGGTTAGACATCAAACAATGGAAAGAGGCTTTTTGCCTACTGCGCAAACGTCAAGTGGTTGTTGAGTGCATTTTCATTTTCTCCTGCCCAATATGCAGTTGCTTTAAAAGGTGGTCAAATGTTTTGTTGGCACCATAATTGGAATCCTTTGGGAAAATGCATGACGTGCACTACCAATTTATGCTAACATTTCGTCAGCAAGCAACCCATTAAGGTTTATTCAGCCTCCCCCGTAAATGAAGAAGCTTATCTGTTACACCAACTCCCTAAATATTCCTAAACTATGAGCCCTTGAAGCATCATCTTTCACAAGACAGGCGCACTACATATACTGAAAGTAGTGAAATTTCTACTGAAGTTGTGAAGAAGATTATGAGTATTGTCAGCGTTCGTTTATGTATTGTAAGCCAACAAGGTACTTCCTATGGAGTAATTCAGTTGCTAAGATGTCCTAACTTCTTAAGGTCATGTTTATAAACACACCTATGATAAAGTTTCACTAAAACTCAGTTATTTTTCTCTCACTCAATTATTCTTTCATCCAGCAAATAAATTTTTACTACGTGGTTTCAAGGTGGTATTTACAGAGAACTGGAAGTTGCATTAAAATACTAGTCAGTTTAATGCCATGAAATTATGCCTGTCCTCTAGAAGATGAGTAACTAGACCAAAAATTTATAATGTCAGCCGGTCAACTTTTTCAATTTTGGACGGAAGACCACCACTCCTCCTACAACATGTGTTTGAACACTGTCCACGTGTTGATTCGAGCACGCGTCTAAATGGACACGGAAAAATATTAGCGACAGGACCATTACGAATGCAATCCAAAAATGAGAGCACCAGGGCCGCTTGCGCTTGCTCCTCACCAGGACTTACTTTAAGCAAAATGACAGACAATGTCCTAAACAGTATCCACTGACCTCAAACCAAAGATCGACACAGATCATATTCCTATAAGCCATTATTACGGGGGGTCGCTGGAGGATTGCCTCTCTTTCTGGAGTACGAGGTTGGACTTTGATCACGCGCTAGAGAAGACTCGTGTATATCTGCGCCTTACTGACTGCAGGAAACAGGCAATTGTAAAGCCTATCTATGCCCGATTGGGAGATTAGAACACCAAGTAAATACTTAGTAAGAAGTTAGCTAAGTATTTATCTGAAGGTGACAGCAATGGTCATCCTGGGGAAACCTGGTGTAATGTTAAGTCTATTGTAGAAACAGCGGTAAAGACAATTGGTAACCTAAATAAGAAGGTTATCAAACATCACTGGATTTGGGTGACATCATCTGAACCGATTGATACAAAAAAACTGGTCCCAGCCGGCTCTGACCTCGATGCAGAGTGAAAGCAAATGAAATGTAAGCTGACCAAGAGAAGTGGTAGGTGAAGAAAACAAAAGAAATGGAGAAGGCATCAGTGTAGGGTGACACCCGGAAACTATTTAGGCTTATTAAGGATACCGGTAAGAAGAAAACGATGGTTAGCAATACCATCAACGAAAAGGATGGAATGCTAATAACCTCCTAGGACAGGCGGTTAGAATGTTGGGTGGAATACTTCAAAGAAAAATTTAACTGACCCTCAGCAATGCTTCATTTGCACATTATCCAGCCTCAACCTGAGTGAGGCGTAGATGCCAGTCCTCCAACTCACCTTCAAATTGAGAAAGCTGTAGCAAACCTGAAACGATGCAAACTAGCAGGACCTGACAGTTCGCCACTCAAAATTTTTAAGAATAAAGGTAGGAAATTGCCAAATAAATTCATGCAAGTACTAGGTAGTGTGTGGAAATCAGAGTTCGTGCCGTCAGACTGGTGTACTTCACTGATCATCCCAGTATATAAGGGAGAGGAATCTTTTCGTGACAACCGTCCAAGATCCGTCCAAGATTTATAGTTAACCGACGCCTAACTGGAGCTCGAGAACAACACACTCAAGAAAACTAGGCAGGTTTCAGACCTGGGCGATGGTCTATCAATCATATTTTTACCCTGACAGGTTGTAGAACGCAGGCATACCTACCGGTCAGCCCCCAACACTTGCCATATATTTCTTAACCTAAGGCAGAATTTGATTCCGTCAACTGTAAGGTTTTGTGGCAGTGTCTGACTGTGAAGGGAGTACCGACCAAGTATATAACGCTAATCAAACCTCTTTACTCAAACTCATGCAGCCAGGTAAGAGCTTATGGAGAGTTTTCATATGAGTTGACGACAACTTATAGTGTTTGCCATGGATATCCACTGTCCTTGTTCCTATTTACTACCATCATAGACGTACAAATGGACGCAACCGTAGGTACGTCTGACTTCACAAGGATTGACTTACTTTTTGGTGGCCTTCTGGTCTATCTGGAATATGCGGACTGTTTTAACCTCCTACTTGAAAATGCTGACAAGACGCAGTGCCTTCTGCACTGTATTAAGCAGAAATCTGAATACGTTTGGCATGCATTTCACACCTATCAAATGTAAGATGATGCTCGAGGACTGGTTTTTTACCACTCCCAGTTTAATGATAGGGAGTGAAGTGGTGGAGTGTATCGACCACTTCATTCACTTGAGAAGTTGCACCAGCCAGGATGGGCTGATTTCTGACGAAATCTCAGGCTGGACGGGCATTCGCCAACTCCAGTCACCTGTGGTGCCGTCGATATATCCGACTATCTAGCAAAGGATGAGTATACCGCACTGTAGTCTTTCCTCTTCTGTTAAACGGCTGTGAGATATGACTGTTAAAAGCGACTACAGGGTTTTGATCACAAATGTCTTCGTAGTATTGCTCACGTTTGGTGAAATCACCGGTCACCTGTAACAATGCACAATTCACTGACATCTAAAGCTTGAATATTCACACTAACCTTTATGTTCAGATTGTTTATTCGCTCACACAACGTGGCCTACCTCGACTTCACTCTTTTTCTATCCACCTGTATACTACTTTGAAGCGTGGTAACTTGAGCCGATGTACATGTGTGGGAGGTTCTACCTAGATCTTGTCTGTCTGGGACGAAAAGATATCATTCATCCAAAAGAAGCATGGTGCCATCTCCAGTCTGCTGTAAAAACAGAGATGAAGGCAGTATCCAACTCTCAGAGAGTGATTTAAAAGAGCCAGTGGATTTCAGCTGCCTCTTCCAAAATAATGGAAACACGCGAACACATCTCTGCAGGCTCCAAATGCATTGAAGAGCAAACGTAACTGAAATGTAGGCTGACAAAAAGTCTATGTGGTCACCACGAATAGCGGTGAGCAGCGAAGGCTAATGGGAAAGAAAAAACAACGGGGATGTGTAACAGTAGACAGTTAAGTAGACTTATCACGGAAACTGGAGTCAAAGGATTAATGGTTAGTGAGATGATACAGGAGAAAGACGGGTAAATGATGCACTCGCTGGGAAGACGACTGGAACAATGGGTGGAAACTCTCGAAAAAAACAGTTCAACGGGCCTCCAGCTACTACTGCGTTGCCCGCTATTCATTCGGAGCGTGAATGGAACATCGAGATGGGGCTCCGGACACTTGCAGAAGTCGAGAAAGCAGTAGGTAACCTGAAATGAGGAAGAACAGCAGCGTCAGGCGACTGGTCTCACAGGTATTTAGGAACGGTGGTTAAGGAATTTTGGTAAGATTTACTGAAAGGTTAAATAGTGTATGAGAGTCGGATATAATCTCCTCCGATCGATTTTAATCAGACTGTCCCAGTCTTCAAGAAAGGTGAATTCTTTTGTGATAACTATAGAGGAATAAGCCTGACGAATATCATGTCAAAAATTCTAGGTTCTATAGTAATTAGATGTGAGTGGAGCTTGAGAACAGCAAACGCGAGGAAAACAGGCAGGCTAAAGACCTAGCTGAAGGTGCATCAACCAGATATTCTCACTTCACTAGTTTCTAGAACACTGACACACTTGTCGACGCGCGACACTGGTCATATTTCTTGACCTAAAGGTTAAATCTGCTTCTTTCGATTAAGAGGTCTTATGGCAGTATCTCTCACTAAAAGGGGTACAGAGTACGTATATCACCTCATTGAAAGCTGTCTAGTTAAACGCCTGTTGGCGTATCACAGCCCACTGCGAGATGTTGAGTGAGCTGTGTACGTCGAGTGTTGTCCGTTAAGAATACCTGCACTCTCCATTCCTTTTCAACTTTTATCATAGACGTTCTAACTTAGGTTTACCTCTCGTCATATGACTACACAAGGACTGAGCCAATCACAGGAGAATTTTTGGTAGACCTAGAATACACAGATAGCATAGTCCTGTTAGATGAGGACGCTGACAAAATGCAGAGTCTTCTGAACACTTTAAGTGGCAATTTGAGAATGCTTCGGATGAATTTCTCGCCACCCAAATGCAAAGTGTTCCTCCAGGACTAGCCTTCATCGGTTCCTCAGTTGACAATATGAAATCAGTTGGTTGGGTGCATTGAACACTTCATTTACCTAGGAAGTCGAATAATTTATGATGGGTCGGTGGTCAACAACACCTCTGGACGGACGCAAAATGCTCGAGTGGCTTTTGTCAGCTTTTGTTATGTGGCACTACCGCAATATCTGACTGTATTATAAAGGGTGACTGCACTGTGCTTCAGTTCGTTCTCTTCTACTGTACGGCCACAAGACAACCATTAAAGATAGAGTACATGATAGGACTCCAAGTATTTGACTACTATTGCCTTCGAAGCATAGACCGTGTGTCATGGGTGTCATCAAGAAGAGTTTTAGATAAAAGAGGAAAGTCATTTGATGCGGTTGTGAACCTTCATCGGCTGATATGACTGGGAGATCTTACGCACACTTAGTTACCATTTGCCTCGTCGTCCAATGCTAGCTGAAGTAGGCCCAGACTAGAAAAAGGATCAGGACGGACAAAGTAAAACATCGCATCACTGCATGAAGTCTTTAACTGTTAGCTTGGGTCATGTAGGGAGATACAGACTAGATAGTTGATTCATGTGAAAACAGAAACCGGTGGATAGAGACTCTAGGTGATATAGCGTAGGATCGATGTCAATGACGCAGTTGTATCCAAGCTTGATGTTCATTTTCACTGCTATAATGAATTGAGCATCTCATTCCTCCTTTCCTGTTGTTGCTTCCTACTGCTTTGAATTAGTTCTTCTCTATTTCCTCACCTTTCATTTTATTGCTTTGTTACTTGATGTGGCAACTTGGATTGTTATGTATTAATCCCTGATTCTATGTTGATAATGATGATGATGACAGCTGAAAGCCGGTCAAGGTTACCACAATTTACTTGAGCATCCCGAAGAAAAGTGGCAAGCAACTAAACCAACTTAAGCATTAATAAACGCTGGAAGACAAAAGTGGGTTGCACCAACAAAAATATTCCTAATAATGTTACTTTTAAAATATAGGGGAGGATGAAAAGTGATGCGATAAGATTATACGTTCATTCTTTCAACAACGCTTCAACGTTTTGTAGTAAAGCATCAGTCATAACCATAGCTTTCGCATCATCTTAGAATACAACTACTAACTTCACTACAATCCGTATGTCTAAGAAATAATCAGGCTAATTTATTGTTAGCCATGAGATCAACAGAAAATGTCAGCTGTGATAGTTTCTTCCAACTACATACTTATAAAAAATACTGAATTTATAACCCTTAATGGGATAGGTTTTCGAAGAATGCCAAAAGCTCATGATCTAGTTACAATGACTTGTCAACTGGCTTAACAATACTCAGGATGCCTTTAAGTACTTATCATAGAAAACAAGCAAATTGTATATGTCTTTGTTTTATTTACATGGTCTAAAAGTAAAACCCTAAGAGTAAATACATTCAATCCACCACAACCTTGTGCAGGTAAATGTTAGATCTGGACAGCTTGGTCACTTAACAGTAACTGAGTGTTGAAAAGAATTACCAAGCGGTTGGTCTCACACCGAACTGTAAACCAATAAAATTCTCTACTTGAGTGTGAATTATTATCACTTCCAGTTGATATTTTCAATACTTTCAGATCTTAACAGTACTACCATTCCACAAAATGAGTGATATTCTAGTATCATCCATTAAAACATTAAGTAAATATTTCAATATCTTTAGTCGAAATTACTTACACGCTACTTCTTGATAACTTCCGTCCGAGCAAATAAAAACTGACTACCCTCAAACTTTCAAAAAAGAAGTCCGTAAAAGGTGTAGAAAAATCACCTAAATGCATTACAAGTCACTCTAATCTTGTATTATTTATCTGTGGAGTGAAGCAAACACGCAAACCAAAAAGGTTATATGTACGAAGAAAGTACGCAATGCAGTAAGAGCTTACTAGTTCCTTTTGTAACAGCATTCATCATGCATACATACAAATGTCCTCAACAGGATAACAGAGACTGAGATGTTATGCAATTTAAAACGGTATTGTCGGCAAAGAATATTTATGGTCCACTTTTATTGACATGGCAATGGGCAATAAGCGGATAATTGTAGGATCAAACACTCCGAAAATGACGTTAAACACATAAAAAGAAGACTATAAAGTAACTCAGTAAATACCATCCTTATGGTGCGCAAGTTGAGAGTGATATAAAACAATTAGATTACGAATATCTTACTAATAAACCAATCGTAAACGCATTAAACGTACATGCAGCAGTGTCATAAATCATCACAAGTTGTTGATCCAATTGCGGAATATTTCTGATGATAATTTTCCATGAAATCACGCAAATCTTATGGAAACCATCGAACTGAGACAAGGTAAAACCAAAGAATGTCGAAAACCCAAAACATTATTCATTCTGCGCATCGGATCGCGCGCTGAATGGCAGATGTAAGTGGCGTAGACTAACCACAACGGAGAAATATGGATTCAATTTCTATGTATCTCAAAGACTATGAATTTCCGCAGCTCTTTTCGGCCAAGGATATAATTCAGTGCAGTCGTCTACCTGTGCACAATTAAAAAGAGGCCAGAACGAGGCTGCTAAAATGTGCGAATCCAGTTAGTGCTCAGCAAGCTCCTATCTACACCTGAAGTATGTACCAAGCCGGCGTGTAAAGGATTCAGATGAAGTAACCCGGATCGCTTCTGCAGGAACAGCATTTCAAGATTTAACACCTTTCGGTGAGTAAAAGTGGTGCTTGATATCCAACCTGCTTTGTTCTAGGCTTAGTATGTTTGTTTTTTCTCTAAGAGTGACGCTTTCACTAAGATTCAGCAGGTGATGAAGTGTGGGTCCACCGGTGCTCAAATATTGTTAGCCTGCATTAGGATGCTTCTCAGTCTTCTACATTCCAGAGGATATAGGTTTAGCGGGACCAGAGGATCCTCATCCATCTTAGGCCTTAGTCCTCGAACAGACTTGGTCGACGGCTTCTTGATGCTCGCTGGAGCTCATCCGTCCACCCACAGAGAACGGAGAGGATAACAGTCCTGAGCCTTAGCCGTCCTAAAATTCATCCAGGAGTTACGAACGGAAGTCCCCACGAAATGCTTTTCTGTCACAGCTGGAAAGGACTTGAAGTCTGAAGGATCAAGGCACGCAAGTCATCCTTCGTTTGGGGCGCTTACGCCCCATGTCGTTGAGACTATATACATGGCATGCATCATGTTTTAAATGTAAAAAATTTTCAGGACTGTCTGAAAATCCATTACTAGGTACCCAGCCTTGAAGCTAAGTTAAGCCTTCTTGTAGGTAAACACCATCCGCTCAACTTCTAATTTTTTTCAGTAGTTTCTTCCTCATCGGCAAAAGGAAGGATTTCGGATTAGGCTTTTTTGAGGCAAGCCGTCCAAGCATATTAAAAAGAAGAGGCTGTGGCACAGAACCCTGAGGAACTTCACTGAAATACTGCTCTTCTTAAGACACAGAAGCAACTACATGAGACTTGGTCAAGATTTGACATGAATTTTGAGCACCAAGTGAGGAGTTGTTATCAAGCATAAGTTACATTTGGATAGGTCTCAGCATGCTTGAAATAAGAAGTTCCAACGTTTTGCATGCAAGTCTGATCAGAACTTCTTCACGGAAATAATCAAAATCTGCATCATCGTAGGTGTACATAGAAGGCCAAAAAACACATATTTCATGTCACTGTCCATGCGCGGCTGGGGACTCGTGTCTGTGAAACAGGTCGCTCAGATTGCTATGCAGTACATGTTGGGGAAAACCCAGGCAGGTGAATTTAGGGATAATGGGACACAGACAATGTCAAAAACAAATTCCAAAGGCCACAGCAGATATTCATAGACTGCAGCATAGATCAGTGATGGCATTGCATTCGAAAGACATGAGACACAAGGCCGATTTTGGTGGAACCAAAGTTGTAGAAAAAAGGTTCGTGTTATATTGGGGAGAACAGCTGTCGAAACCCCACACATATGGGCTTACCCAAACAGCTTGAATCGGCGAGACGGAGTGCAGCTGGCTGTTGTGCGGCGGATAATGTTTAATAAACAGACGTAAAGAAGCCAGGCAAGGAATACCATACTTTACTTAGATTGGCAGCAGTATCCAATTTCATTCTATTCCCATTCGCGCTAATTTGTTGTCACCATCCAACCCCTCATCTACAACAAACAAGGCACCATCAAACTTATCCATCTTCTTCGTCATTATTGTTATCGTTATTTGTTCTGTAACCTTCAAAACGCAAAGGAAACGAACATAGCGCGGTCTTACCAGCGTCAGTTCGTTAGGTTTTCAGACATAGACAAAGATGACATTTTGTGCCACAAACAACAAGTGTGTATTCTGCATGCACTGGAATATGGCCTCTACTAATTTGGATCACCTGATATCTGATATGCAACACGTGTATATACGTGCGCACACAGACTTGTACTCATGCGTTGTTTGCATCGCTGCACCACCTTTTAGATAATTAATAACCCTGCTGGAAAGTAATTGCAGCCCCGTCAAGACTAAGCGATGAGATAAACTGTACGATTTATGGTTGGAATTCACTATACGATTTATGGCCTGTTGTATGCATCCATGATAGTGTACCTTTTGACTATTTCCGTGAAGAAGCTCTGACCACACCTTCGTGCAAAACGTTGGAATCTCTCTCTTTATTCAGGGTAAGGTCTAGCAAATATAACATGTAGAAAACCCTGTTCGAGCTCTAAATGGGCGACCTCGTAAGAGTGAGAAGCAGCCAATGGGTGGCTTGGTTCCGATGAACTTTTTAATGATAAGGCTGTCGCGGCTGACACGATCGGGCGCCTTAGCAATGCCCAGATAAGTAACACCAGCCTGACCTTGACAGTTGACAACGCTAGTGCATCTATCGACTGCTTTGAACAGGCTGGTGACACGTAAATGCCCTCTTCTAGGTTCCTGCTGCCGGTGCGTGAAGAAGCTAATCCACTCAAGGCCAGCCCTCAGTCCACCATGAATCAGCGATTCAACTACTTTGTAAGTTTCGGGTGGGAGTGTCACTGGTATATATCTCTTCAGGCTGATCTTTTGGCCTCTTTTGAATATTTATATATATATATATATATTATATATGAATATTTATATTTACATTACCCAGCTTCTGGGGATCGAGCACTTTACTCGGCTTAAAGAATCCTTAAAGAATTCATTTTAAGGTTCAGCCAAGAGAGGTGCCTCTTCCCACGGTGCGGCCCGACGGATTCAGTTTGGTCCCGAAAAAGTATTCGCTGTAAATAGTAACAAAATGCCTCGTGCCAGTTCAGTGTCGAAGTCAACAGCTAAAATCCTCACTTCGTTAGCTGAATATTCGGAAACCCACAAATAGGTAATCGATAACGGTAGGATCTACGGATACTGGTCACCCAGAAGATCGACAGCTTCCCTGTCATTGACGGCCAACCTATTGGGCCCTGGTGCTTGAAAGACTCGCGTTTTTTAGCCTGGCGGAACTATGCAGTATAGCGGAACAGAACTTTCAGGCTGGAAACCTAACCCGATGCCACTGCTAGTCGCTTCATGCTACTTTCATGCATATCCCCTGTCTGTTTCGATGGTCTGTATGCGTACTCAGTACAATTGGTATTGTTCGACCAAGTGGTCTTTTATACCTAGGTAGTTTGTCAGTGGAGTTGCTTATTACCTAAGACGGCCTGTAGCACTTCGACGTTGAAGGTGGAACAGACTGGCTGATGTTACGTACGATTTCGTCATGCATGAGACTTCAGAGAGTTTTGATATCCAGCCACAAATGGTCAATTTCTTGACCTCTCTGTCTCAGTACCATTCGGAGGGCTTCAGTGATTATTTCTTCGAAGTTCCAACGACACTTGGTGAGGGGTCTGCTTAATTTGGTTCAGCAGATATTCTGGAGGCTGATAACATGGTCACTCCTGTCCAGGGGGGAACCGCTGCCAAGTTGTCAACGAAAAATTCTTCGTTTGTGGAGATAAAATCCAAGTGGGGTCGTGTCTGACTTTCTTTCCTTTGTGTTACTGATCTCACATTTTCCGTAAGCCTGAGTCCGTAAATCAGTTTAGGGAATCGGCCTTGGGCGGATTCGTCACTTCCGCTGTACGCACGATACGCAACGTTAACTTCCGACAGATGAAAAGAAACTGGGATTATAACGCGTGCCACAATTTAACAGAGCAGCTCACTGCCCCTAACATTTGATAATCATGCCGTACGTCAGCAAATAGTTCCGTATGAATTACCCCCACGAGGTAACCGGTGATTTCGGACAGATTTTCAAAGCACCAAATAGACTCTGCAAACTGGTAAGTTCTTGGATGCCTACTTGATGAGCTGCAAGTGAAGAAGTGAAGTAAAGTGCCACCCCACCCACCTACTAACTTTCCCTTTCTCTGAGATGCAGTGGGGTGTTGGCTGTTCCTGGCTCCTGATCATAGTGGCACATACCTGAATCAGAAGCAAGCCATTCTTACAGATAAGATCAGACACATGCGATGCCAACCGTCGATGAATACTATAGATTTCAATGAAGTCAAGCAAGATACAATGGAGTTTAATCTACCTTTGAACCATTCTACATTAAAGGAAGACCCCTTGAGGTGATGCATCGGTAAGTTGAGTGATGAAGGTTTTGGTGAAGTTCAAAACAAGAGATCACCCTGGAATGCATGAGTGTCATACCGGGATGGATCTACTTATTCAGTGGCTTGACTCATTCAGATGGAGGTGTGTCACAGTGTGATATGTTTTGGTGTTAGACAGTGGTCTTTAAAGACGGGAGTAAATGCAGCAGAATATTCAGCAAATATTCAACGAAATAAAACTCACAGTTACCATTAAAGTGTAGGTTTGAACACTTGGAGGGTTCAGAAAGCTTACGTTCCCTGTTGAACATACCACTCTGACATAAAACGAATTTCTTCACATATTGCCTCAAGGTAAGCAAAACAATAAGACTGTCGATGTCGTGGAGTGAAGCGGAATTTTTATGGCAGAGGAGATTCCATTTCGCATAGCATCAGTTTCGGGGCATAAGAAGTGTGTGAGGATCATTAAGTTTAGGCTCAGGAGAGCACCTGTGAGGCAAAATTAAGATGGGGGAGCAGAAGGATAAGGCTGTAGGGGACTGGATGTACTGCAACTCCATGAGCCTACACTAGCTCTGCTCAACTTTATGCACTGTTGTGCCTGCTTAATTAGCGCCCTGTCTGACGTGAAAGTACTGGTAACGAAACGATGTAAAAAGACAGTCACTTGGGAATATATTTGGACGAACAATGTATTTAACTAGGTAAATAATGGAGGGCTTTTTAGGGAAATTGTTCATCCAGCTTAGCTGGTGGATATGGCTGGAAGAAGGGCTCTGAGGACGTACGTGTTAACAAGCACGAAGGCTGCGCAAGTGTG